AAATCGTGCAATGTAACTCGATAAGGACTTGCGTTTGTCAATGACAATCAGTCAAGCCGTTTCTTTGTAAATTGCGAAAAAGTGAGGAAATTTTTGCCCACGTTTTAGCTTGTAATTTTAAATCGATTTTAAAAATTCAAAAACTCTATTTTCAAGAACGAAAGATATTGGTTAAGAGAGAAACTGATTAGTTTTTGATGAAGATTTAGTGGTACGTGTTCTCGTAATTAACTGTTGAAAAAAAATTCCATGATTTCAATGATTTTTTTTTAGCGATAGATTTCATGGTCTTCTACAACATACTAAAATATTACGGTCCTACGACAAGTCGTTTAATTTTAAAAAATCATCAAAACCTAAAAAAAATGAGATGTACTTTTTTAAAGTTTATTAAAATTAGACATTTCAACGACATTTTCTTAACAACGGTTGAGTCGATTTCGAAAATTTAAAAACTATTCGATGAAAGTTGATAAGCACGCGCTTTGGATAGATTTTTGATATGATCGCCTGAACCGGTTCTAAAAAATTGTCAATTCATTAAAATGAGGAATAATAAACTACAGTTTTAAGACATACAAGCACTTGTCTGTGCTTTATAATTAATATATTTACATATATTATGAAAATGTTTGAGTAAAATTAATTAATATTTAATTGAAAGCAAAAACTTCATATTTTAAATAAATAAACCGTTGAAAATTCTAATTATCTAAATCTCAATTTCGGTTGTTATTACACATTTCGGGAAGTCCATGCAACTTGCTTTAATTGCAACCTTCAACTAGTTTTATATTAATTTTATATTTCACAAATTGAATACGTTTTTATAAAACTGGGTCTCATTATATATTGATTTAAAAAAGTATATAATTTTTTGTATACAAATAATTATTCTCGATACTTTTGGATAAGATGAAAATGCCGAAAAAAATAATCGTTCGGCTATAATTCAAAGTGAAAAAGCAGCGCCTATCCTGTTATATATGTATTCCTTCAATCCCATTCGCGGGCCATATTTATGACTGCGAGGTCATAAATTATTTGCATTTTATATCAGTGGGCTCTCTCGAAGCTTAGAAGAGTCGCATCGCATCGCACATGGGCCATATATCTAGATCACATGGCACACAGATTCATTCACATGAACTACACACACTCACACCAATACACATACATTAAATTTTTTGTTGATATCATAGAATAATTCATTACAGCTTATTTTTTTAGGTCGTTTATGTGGTAAAGGCTTTAGGTGGTAACGCTAGTTGATTTGGACTTCGAAATTAGCCGAGTCTTGTATCTGAAGCAAAAGTGGTTTATTTTTTCTTCAATAGTTAATACTAGGGTAAGCCAGTCTGGTAAATATTTTGTTTTCAATAGTTAAATGTTTTCATATAGATTATTATAAACACTGTAACATAAAAATCGTCGAATTTTTTTTTTTAAAACGTTATTACAAGAAAACGGCTCGGCCGATCTTTACCGAAAACTAATCAGCACGATTCCCAACCAATATCTATCGAATGGTTTTTGAATTTTCAGAATCGATTCAGAATTGCGGGCTAAAACGTGCGCGAAAAATTATTCACTTTTCTGCAATTTACAAAGAAACGGCCCGGCCGATCGCCGTACAAAACTCAGAGACGATAGTCTTCATTGAGATACATCAAATAGCTTTTAAATTTTTGAAATCGGTCCAGCCGTTTTGGAGAAAACGTCGATTTACGGCAAAAAATCTGTTCACACACACACACACACACACACACACACACTTTTTCCAAATTTGGTCTCATTCGATTCAGAATGGCTCGAAACGTCGAGAAAACATAAAATTAGCGAATCGGATTTTTTGATGAAAACATAAACTTCTCCTTCGGGAAGTTAAAAATTCCAGTATCCAAGAATATCCAGTTTACTTTCTATTTATTACGCAAATTTCTATTCACACATTGCTTACGGTATCCAATTTTGGGGTTTCTCTAATGAACTAATTAGACGTTCATTTCAATTTTTAAACTTCAAAAGAGAGCAATTAGAATAATTTTTTCACTATCCTCCAAGACATCATGCCGTAATATCTTCACCGAACAAAAAATTTTAACAGTACCGAGTATATTTGTTCTAGTCACTCTTAATTTCTTAAAAAATAATCCAGACTCTTTTAATTTGTCTTCGATGTCAAATACCAAGCACAATACGAGACATAAAATAATTAAAGGCAGGACCTATAAACTACACAGCTCCTTTAATACTATCTGCGGTATGGGTATACAATTTATGAATAAACTGCCGTTACGTGTTCGTACCCTTGATAATAAAAAATTTCATAAAGTACTAAGTGATGAATTGAAGGATTTAACTTTTTATAGCCCTCTGGAGTTTTTAAATTTCGATTTTTCGAATTACTTTCCCGAAAATCTCAACTAATCATTAACGCGACTTTTCCCCCTCGAAGAAATTTCTCTATTACAGGCAGCAGCAAGATCGATGGATCGACGATGGCTAAAATCCCTACCAATCTACGGGCGCTAACTAACTGATGTCACCTACCAGCCACGTCTATGCCTACTTAGTGTTAGAAGTATCGAGCCAAAAGATCGATATTGAGTACTTTGAAAAGTATCTAATCAAAATATCGATGCCAAAAAATATCGTGGCGAAAGTATCGATAGTACTCAATATCGAATTTTGAGTACTTTTCATCAAAATCAAACATAAGTGCAAGAAAGATCTAAAACTCATTAAATATCATATCACAATATTAGAATGAATTCTATTGCTTGCATCTGATGTGTTAAATCAGAATCATTTTCAATATTGTAAAATTTTAACAGTAATTTTTCAATACTACTTTCAAATTCTATAATTTTTCAAAAAAAAGACAAGTTATAATAGTTGAGTATTTTTGATTAAAACAATATAATGGTCTGATACTATATTCAAAAAGCAATACGTTTTAAGTATTTTAAGCACAATAATATTTTTAATATTTTTAAGTAAAATAATATTTCATAATTGTTGAATATTTTATATGAATAATTTTACCAACTTTAAAAAATCGTTACATGTTTGCATAAAACTGCAATATGAAGAAATAAACGGAAAGCAATAAACATTCAGTTTATTGTTAATGACGGTCAAGATATATTATCTTCGACACTTGAAGAGAAACATCCCTTCGGAGCGATGGTATTTAAAGTTTAAATGGTTCCGAGAAACTCAAACCCATATGTTTGCATGTTGAAATTCAAAAATTTCAAAACATGAGTATTTTGTGTTAAAAAAGATTCGAAATATAATTATTTAAAATAATAATATTCATCAATTTTTATATATTAGTATTTTGCGTAAAAAAGAATCGAAATATAATTATTTCAAATAATAATATTCATCAATTTCTATGTATTAGTATTTTGCGTAAAAAAGAAACGAAATATAATTATTTCAAATAATAATATTCATCAATTTCTATATATCAGTATTTTGCGTAAAAAAGAATCGAAATATAATTATTTCAAATAATAATATTCATCAATTTCTATATGTTATTATTTTGCGTAAAAAAGAATCGAAATATAATTAATTCAAATAATAATATTCATCAATTTCTATGTATTAGTATTTTGCGTAAAAAACAATCAAAATATAGTAAACGCAAAATAATCATACTTTATTTGTTGAATATGTTTTTATAAAAAATTTAACGTATTTTAAAATCCGTTTCATTTTACATAAGAGTAATAAATAAACATCTCTATTTATTAGTGTGGTCATATTCATTTTGTGTTTTTGAGACTGATGACCCTGAGGGATCGTTTTTGGACAATTCTTTGAACAGTTACGACCATCTAGAGAGACTATTGTATTGCATTTGCAATGAGTGCGTTCATAGTTGGTCGATTTGTGGGGTTCATAGATTACGCTGTCGATTCTTTTTGAGTACTATCGACGAAAAAGATCGATATTGGCAAATAGATCGAGCTAGAAAATCGATACCAAAAGTACTCACTATCGACCGCAAAGTATCGATATTTACTCAGTACTCGATATTTTGTTCTAACACTATGCCTACTATGCTCGTCACAACATAATTCGTTCGTTAAACTAAATACTTATGTTGCACTTCTAAATTACTATTATTATTATTATTATTTCTTTGTTTGTTTTTTTCTTTTTTTTTAATTTTTGTTTATATGATTGTTATTGTTAAAATTCTATTGTTAATATTTAATTAAAAACTTATAATTTAAAAAACACTAAAAAATTAAGATGCAAAATATTGACTTTTTTTTTTCTATTTATTATCTTTATATGACTGTTATTGTTAAAATACTTAATAATTAGTTAACTAAAAACTTATAATTTAAAACACTTAAAAATTGTGAAACAAAATTTTAATTTTTTATATGACTGTTATTGTTAAAATACTTAATAATTGGTTGACAAGAACTTATATTTTAAAAACACTTAAAAAATTGTGAAAAAAATACTCCATCAAAATTCCTAAAATTTGTAAAAGAAAAAAACTTATATTGTAAAAATACTTAACAATAATAATGAAAATGATAATGATAATGATAATAATAATAATATAAGACACTTAAATTTGTTAAAATATCATAATTTAACCTAAAATTTGTTAAATAAAATAATTATATTGTTTGTATATTAATAAGTATTTGTATATTAATAAGCTTATTGAAATATTTATTAAATTTTTAAAAATACTTGCTACAAACAAACTAGTTATATTTATAAATAATTAAAATTAACTAAATATAAATAAGTTTATAGTAAATAAATTAAATAATAAATAAATAAGTAATAAAATAGCTAATAATTAATTATATTAAACATATAAAATATTGACTTAAGCCTTGTTATAATATTATTATACTGACGGCTTGTAAAATTAATAAATAAATACATATCTTGAATTTCGCGAGTGGAAAGAGTTAATAACATTATATCATATAATAGAGAAGATAACAGCCTCTCATTGTTTTTAGTCATCAGTAACTAGCACTTAGTGTTATTTTAATTGATTTATATCTTCAAAATACTAACTTTTCTTAAAAAATGTTTAAACTTTCATTGTTTTTCTTGCTAGCAGCAAGATCGAGAATATTTTTAAGAACAGAAATTTGAAACTGATCACTCTCTGCTTGATCTTCAAACCAGCGTAATGCAATGTCCAAACTTTCATATGCTTGCTCAGCTGAAGGAATAATTTCTTTTTTAACTTCTTTATTTTCGTTTTCTTCTTTAACAGTTACCAACTCTACAATAACTTTATCTTCTGTGATAAGCAATGTTGAGTCACCATCATCTGACTCATGATCAGTTAAGAACTTTTCTCCTTCGTTTTGCAGATCACGAATACCATGCCTGGATTTAAATCTTTTTAGCCATCCTGCACTGGCCTGAAAATCAGGTGGTCCTCCATATTGTTGGTTGAGCTCCATAGCCTTTTTGCATAGAGTTGGTCCATTGATCTGTTCACCTTGGGATCTCTTTTCTATTAGCCATCTATAAATGGCTTCATCGGCATCTTCATTTTCTGCCAGTCTCATGGTTTTACGTTCCTTAACTCCATCGGCAGAGTCTATTTTGGATATAAATTCAATAATATCGGATTTTTGTTTTCGTATATCACTTATGGTAGATTTTCCAACTCCGTATTCTATGGCTAGTTTGATTAAAGGTTCTCCTTCATCTAAACGCCTAATGATATTGTATTTGTCTTTCATAGACAGAACTACTCTTTTGCGTCTCATCATTTTTGATACATATGCAAAAAACAGTTTTATGAAGACTCTTATCGATTAAGAAAATTATTGGAGATTATCTTGAGCATCTCCTATCAAAAGTCTTGACGATTAATGTTATTCATTTTTTTCTGTAAATAGAATAGAAAATGGCTACATATAATGTTTAGGAATGAAATGTAAATAGTATTTGATGGTAAATTATGAAATGGGAAAAAAATTATAGAAATTCTGTACGGATCAGAGACGTGGACTCTAAGAAAGGACGACAAAATCTATCTGGAGAGTTTTGAAATGTAGTACTGGAGACTAATGGAGAAAATAAAGTGAACAGATATTCTAGCAAATGAAGAAGTCGTGAGAAAAGTGGGCAAAAAAAGGACTCTACTGAGCACAATCATTAAAAGGAAAGGAAACTGGATCGGACCCATTCTGCAAAAAGAATGCCTTCTACCGAGCTCTACTGAGCAGAATCATTAAGAGGAAAGGAAACTGGATCGGACACCCATTCTGCAAAATGAATGCTTTTTATAGAGCATTATTGAGCAGACTCATTAAAAGGAAAGAAAACTGGATCGGACTCATTCTGCAAAAAGAATGTCTTTTACCCGGCGTCGTCGAAGTTAAAATAGAAGGATTAAAAAGATTTGAAAAAGAAGAATGTAAATGATTGATAACATACGCGAGAAGAAAAAAATAAGGAACTGAAAAGTTTGGACAGGAAAATTCATAGGATTGTAAAAAAAGTGAATAATTATAATTAAATGGTAATGGGAAAAATAAACAAAGGAGGGAAAGGGAATCATTGTTTTGTGGTCCTCTCACACATTGGACCTGCCTTCGGGTTGACTATCATTCATTACTATTACTATTCATAAAAAATATAAAAAAAACCAAATATGTCATTTAAACTAATCAATAAAATTATCATTCTATGTAAAAATCTATATTTTATTATTTTCTCTTAGTTCAGTAAAAGAAATATTTAAGAAAACAAAATTTAATGGTTGTTTAGCTATTTTTTTTATTTGGCTTTTTATTTGTCGAATTATACTATTGAGTTGTTTTTCCAACATGCCCCTTTAGTATACAATGTCCCTTTACGGCCGACAATTGTAAATTCCACAAATTTATTAAATGTCCTTAACTAGACAGTTGTAAATAAAAGAGAGAATAAAAAAAATTATACTATGAGTATATTTAGCAATCAATTCATAAACCTTTTCTAAAAATCAGATAAAATATAAGAAATGTACACTTAAAAAATATATTAATTATAAAATAAAATAAACTAGTGGGGCGCATGGCATCGTTCCTTAAAATACTAGGGTAAGCCAGTCTGGTAAATATTTTGGGGCGTTCACGATCTGTTTCAAAATTTTGTTCGGGAACCTTGCACAATTGCTATGTTTAATTTACTAGCCGCACTCCATAGTTGTAGATCGTAGGACTATATATGTTTAATAATTGTTCTGTATATTAGCAGTTTATTTTCAAATGGAACTTGTGATTTCCGACCTGTTAACCCATTGAATTGCCTACGTGTCAGTCTGAGCTGCGGGCGCTTCTTATTTATATCATGAACATATAAATAAGAATGCTAGGTGAGTCTCCTATCCAAATGTATTACCAGATATTTAACTACATACATATACCAATGCACCACTCGATTCAACAGGAGGTCTTGTCGTAGGGTAAAATTAACATGAAGTGATTTAGAATTGTGTATAATTTCATCAATTTTTTTTATTTTATGTACGTGTTTTTGTAGATTTTCGGAGGCAAGCAATTGGTTGTCATGTTGAGATAAAATTTCTGTATCATTTGCAAAGGTTGCAATCATAATAAAGTGAAGCAGCAAACCAAGAACACTACCTTGCGGAACTCCAAAAGAAATATTTCTAATATGAAAACGAATAACGCATTATTGAAACTGACGAAGAATCTTTGATCACACAAATATGATTTTAGGAAAAAATAGTAGTTGTATGGTAATGACTGAAATTTGACTGCTATTATTTTAGATTATAAAAAAGCTCAATTTCACATAGAACTAGAAGTGTGTGGCATCGTGCCTTAAGGCAAATTGCTAAAACTTCCCGTACCGTAACAAAATGTTCGAGAAATATTAAATGTTTTCATATAGATTATTATAAACACTGTAACATTGTCTAATATTTATAAGAGTTATATAAACTGAATTGCAAAGTTGAAAATCGTTGTTTCAAGTATATTAGAACTTTAGTCAGAATCAAAATTAAAATCTAAAGTATTTTTGATATATAAAAACAAAGCTTTTTGAAATAAAAAATTTGAAAAAAAATTTAAACAATTTTTTCCCCAAAAGTAATTATTTTATTAAAACAAGCAGGAAGTTCTTTGAACCATACTATACAGACGCTTAGTTCTCTCAAAAACTGCCATTTTTTGCACATTTAGCTCTGTATCTTCGAAATGGCTGGGCCTGCCTTTGCCAAAAACTAATCACCTCTTCTCCCAATCATTACAAATTGAATGTTTTTTAGATCATTCAAGTCGGATACTCGGTTCTCTCAAAAACTCGATTTTTATTTACTGCATTCTTTGCTGCGGACATACAAAACACACACACACACATCCATTTTTTCTGAGGTATGCCAAAAAGTTCAGAAACCTTAAAAACGTCGAGAAATGCAAAAATTTTCATTTTCGATTTTCGGCCCGTTACTATAACTACCCTACGGGAAGCTAAAAATTCATTTCGTCTAGAGTTGTCTAACTCAAACACTTACTTCTTAATGCATTGGATTAATTTTCTTAATTTTTCTGTACATATTTCAATGGGTGTTTATTTTGCACAGTACAAATACTGCTTCTACTATATACTGAGATGCTGAATAAGATATTTTACTCGAAGATGCAACTAATGCACCTCAAAAATTAATTGTATTGTAGATTCAATTTTATTCTAAAGTTAAAATCAAACTAGTTGGTATTGGTATTTAGCCTTGAGGCAAGTTAGAGCCACTTCTCGATATGTGTAAATAATCGATTTAATCAACAATAAATAAATTAATTTATGAGTGGTTAAAAGTATTTCGAGTGGATTTATTACACAACATTGAAAACGACCGAACACTCTATACCAAGTAAATCATCTAATTTTCATTTTAACAAACGTCAAAAAAACTACATTTTCTCAAACTTTGATGAATTTTTAAAATTAAACTATTTGTCGTAAGGCCGTAATATTACAGTAAGTTCTATAGGACCATGATATACGAGGTGTGTTCAAAAAGTACCCGGAATTTTTAAATTTCGCGGGTCTGGAGTGTCTGATTGTCAAAATTTTTTTTTATTGTGTTGGTATACATGCCCCTAAAGTATGAAGAAATTTTCAGCTATATTCACTGTTTACTTTGTCTGTGGTAGTCGCTAAGTTCGACGTGTTTTTCTGAGCTCGGCGATTTTTACAATGGAAGAATTGAAAAGTCAAAGAATTTGTATTAAATTTTGCGTAAAAAATGAAATAAAGTGTAACAAAGTGTGTGAAATGTTACAAAAAGCCTATGGTGTGTCTGCTATGAAAAAAACAAGTGTTTACGGGTGGTATAAGCGTTTCCAAGATGGCCGCGAAGACGTTGAAGATGACGAACGCTCCGGTCGACCCAGCACGTCAACAAACGATGAAAATGTGAAAGAAGTGGAAAAAATGGTTATGAATGATCGCCGAATCACAATTAGAGAAGTTGCTGATGAAGTTGGCATATCAATTGGCTCATGTCATAAAATTTTTTCAAATGTTTTGGGCATGAAACGAGTGGCAGCAAAATTCATTCCAAAATTCCTCACTCGTCGTTGCTTGTTCGTAATTTTTTGGCCAAAAACAATACCGTAGTCATGCCCCAACCTTTATATTCACCAGATATGGCTCCGTGTGACTTTTTCCTATTCCCAAAGTTGAAGAGACCCATGAAAGGACGGCGGTTTTCCTCGATTGAAGAAAATCGCTGAGAGTGCTCAAGGACATATCAAAAAGTGAATATCAAGGGTGCTTCGAAAATTGGAAAAAACGCTGGCATAAGTGTATTATATCTGGGGGGGACTACTTTGAAGGGGACCACATTAATGTAGACGAATAAATAAATATTTTTATGAAAAAACGAAAATTCCGGGTACTTTTTGAACAGACCTCGTATATTGCTAAAAAAAATCCATAAAAATCGGCTTAATTTTTTTTTTCAAGAGTTAATTACAAGAAACCGGCACGGTAGATTTTTACCTAAAACTAATCAGCATCAATCCCAACCAATATCGTTCGAACAGTTTCTGATTTTTTAAAATCGGTTCGGTAGGATGAGCTTAAATGTGGACGAAAAGTTTAACACTTTTTTTTTCAAATTACAAAGTAACGGCTTGGCAGATCGTCGCACAAAACTGGAAAATAATAGCCCTCATCGAAATACATCAAATGGCTTCTAAATTTCTGAAATCGGTTCAGGCGTTTTTGAGAAAACGTCGATGAAAGGTCTAATTTTGACAAATGCCAAAAAAACGATACCAATTTTTGCAAACTTTGACGAGTTAAACTAATTGTCGTAGGGCCGTAATATTTTAGTATGATCTAGAAGACTATAGTATCTACCGCAAAAAAAATAATAATAAAAATCGTCGAGAAAAATTTTTCTAACACTTTATTACAAGAAAACGACCCGTCCGATCTTTACCAAAAACTAATCAGCACGATTCCCAATCAATATCTTTCGAACGGTTTTTGAATTTTCATAATCGGTTTAGAATTGCGGGCTAAAACGTAGACGAAAATTTTTTCAATTTTCTGCTATTTATAAAGAAACGGCTCGGCAAATTGTCGCACAAAAAAGCCAATACATCGAATGGCTTTTAAATTTTTGAAATCGGCCCAGCCGATTTCGAGAAAACGCCGATTTACGGCAAAAAATCTGTTCACGTACACACACACACATACACATACTTTTTCCAAATTTGGTCTCATTCGATTCAGAATGGCTTGAAACGTCGAGAAAACATAAAATTAGCGAATCGGATTTTTTGATGAAAACAAACTTCTGTTTCGGGAAGTGGTATATGGCATCGTTTGCATTCCAGGCAAATTGCTGGAACTTCCCTATCA